GACGAGCTGTTCAAAATCTGTCCTGCGTAAATGTGATGGCTCTGAGTCCTGACATCTTTCCATCCTCTGCCCTCAAACTACGTGAGATTTGCTGATAGCCCCATAAAAAACAGAATGAAAGAGTCACGTATACAAAATACTGGAATTGCTCTCAACATGCTGTAAGAACATAACCACCAAAACAATTTAAAACTTGTTGTGTGTTAGGTTTTTGTGGTTGTTTTGGTGTTTTTGCAGATTATTGGATTCATGTCTTTGAGCCCGCTTGCCTTCCGCTACTGCTGTACGCCTTGATTGTACTTGGATTATCAAAAATTAATGATGCATGGAAACAGTTTTATGGTTTCTGGGATATCACAAAATGCATAATCTGCATTATTCCTTGAAAATTAAGTGCTGTTTGAGCTGAACACCAAAAATGGGGCTTAGTATTGTTTACTGTATAATTCTGTCTCTGTGGGTGAGAACATAAAAGCAGACCATACATGATTTTATTGGGTATGTTTCCCGAAAGGTCATAGTCATAATCGTGTATCTGAGGTGCTTTTTTTTTTTATTTACAGTTTTCAACCACAAAAGCATTTCAAAGGCAGCAAAACTGCAGGAATGTCTTTTTTTTCCTGGTTTTGTAGCAGATTTATTTCTGTTGCCTACTGATTGTTTCTGTACACCAGCTCTGCAGTGTGTGAGATAACTCAGCTGCCATGTCTTACTACTGTGTGAACATGTGCTGCCTTTTGGTGGTTTTTTGAGGTGGTTTTTTGGGGGGGATGGTGGGCTTTTTCTGTTTGGTTGGGGTTTTGTGGGCGTTTTTTTGCCGTCCAGAGTGGTGGCTGTCGCCTCTGCTGCAGCTGCTTCTTACAAAGGCCTCCCTGTTTTATCCAGCCTTGGGACCTGAAGTTACCTTAAACTGAAAGTAGTTACTATCTATGTGTAGGATGCGAGTAGTCGTAATTTGGTTTTACAGGTTGAAGTTCACCTGGGATTGACATTTGAAATTATATTCCAAATTAACCTGTGCCTCTGTCTTTCCATGGCGTTATTAGTGGTTTAATTTTAGAAACGTATTTGAAGTTATTTCCTGAGTGAATTCTCCACGATGTCAGAAGAGCTGTGTATCCTAACCATTTCCTCCTGTTTTTATAGATGGCTATACGACGGATGACATTGAATTTTACTGGCGTGGGGGTGATAATGCGGTCACAGGAGTGACAAAGATCGAACTGCCACAGTTCTCCATTGTAGACTACAAGCTTATCACCAAGAATGTTGTTTTCTCTACAGGTTTGTGGAGGGGAAGCTACAAGGGGGATGCACTGGGAGAACTTTCAGAAGGGGGTTCATTCTCAACGCACGGTTCAGGATCTGAGCGAAAATGTCAGGAGCAGGAATAAATCAGAGCAGCAACTGTGAATTTTGAGAAGAGCAGGTTTTATTACAGCTTTCGTAGTGTATAAGGCATCGCTCATTAACATCTGAAGAGGTTTTTGGTAGTCTTTCAGGTTAAGGCTCAGTCAAACAAGCTGTGTTTTCTGTATTCCTGCAAAAACTGATTAAGCCACTTGTACCCCTCAGCGCCCTACACCCAACAAGAAGTAGCCTAGCCTGTCGGAAATTTAAGAACGTTTCTCTCACTAATTCTAATGGTTCCTTGTGCCAAACCATGGATGTATTAGATTATTCTGTCTTGGCTGTAGAAGCTTTGAAGTCATTGCTCCATAGGATGTGTCCATGAGCCTATGCTAGCAAGCGTATGACTTGCTGAAGGCTGCAAAGATGGTTTCTGAGGAGGAGTGGAAAAGAAAATTTGGATTTCATAAAATGAAAACCAAACCAAGCAACAACATTTCAATGGTGTGTTAAATCATTCGAGAGAGACAAGAGTGGGGCTGGGCTATGATTATGAGGTATTCTCTGTCTATTTGAGAAAGCTGCTAGGTGTGTTAAAAACAAATCTTCAAAACTGGTTTTCTAGATCTGGGTAAAGAGCACCGTTGGAGGGAGTAGGGAAGGATGGTGCATCCCACGTGCTTCAAAAGCAAGCAGAGTTTGGACTTGAATAGTAATCTCTAGGCACCCATTTCAACAAGTGCTTCAGCCACCAAAATGTTTCTGGTGGCCAGTGACAAAGGGCAGGTGTTGCATTGCTTGGAGAGAAGGTTAGAAGAAGGGTTACGGTGGGCCAGGCATACTGCAGCTTGTCAGGGGAGAAATACTTCTCTGCTTTGATGCTCTGAAATGCTTCTCGGCTGTTGGTTGTTGAATATTACAATTACCGGCAGCTCTGCACCTAGAGCATCCTTGTACCCTCAGAATAAAAGATTATTAAATCCCAATTCTTGCCAAAAATTCTGCAGATGATTATCCTGGATCTTTCAACTCTGTGTGTGCTCCGTGCTGCATGAAACGCTAAAACCAACATGACAGAAAAATGTTTTCGGGCTTTATACAAGTAAATTATGGCTGTGCCAAATACTCTCTTTTAGGTGCCTACCCAAGGCTGTCTCTCAGCTTTAAACTTAAGAGAAACATTGGTTACTTCATTCTGCAGACCTACATGCCTTCTATTCTGATCACTATCCTCTCCTGGGTTTCCTTCTGGATTAACTATGACGCTTCAGCTGCAAGAGTTGCTTTAGGTAGGCATTTTGACACGTCTCATGCAGTGTGCATTAGCCGAATGCTTTTTCTAGCTTCTGGCTTAGTGGGTAGCGCATGATTTGAAAAATAAATCTGCTAGATCTTTTTACGTCTGGCTTGTTAAGCTTTGTATTATTTGAATCAGCATTTAAATCATCACAATTTAAGCAGAAATTAAAGTGATTTCGTGTCTGAATTAGCTAACTGTATAATCGTTGTAACCGGAATTAGCCTAATTGTCTCAACATTTTCCGTTGCTGTTTTACTGCTTGTTTTTCCTCCAAAGAGAATGCATTTAGTTTGCTTTTGCCCATGGCAGTCCAGAATACACATTCAGCACTGTGTTATGGATTATAAATTGCTTTTCCTTTCACTTTCCTTTACTTCTCCGTAAGCTGACGCATTTTTTTCCTTACCGTTACCTTACATTCCGAAGGCAAAACTATTTCCCTAATTAATCTCCAGAGTACTCTTACATCTCATCACTAATCCCAGGTGTGTTTGTTTATACTGTGCCCCTCATCAGAGGATCCAAGCATGTTACAAAAATAAATATATCTGTTGCCTAATTTTGTTTGTCAGAACATTTCCTACCAGTACAGCTCTCTCAAAGATAAAATAAGTAAATCACCGTAAAAGATACAATTGAGATTTTGACATTTTAACTTGGGAGAATACTGTCTGAGTTTTACCAGGCTTTTCTGTGTAGCATTTTCCCATAAGAAATCACAACTGCAGACAATCTGAAAATGCTGGAGGGAAGCAAGATACAGCAACTCCAGGCTGGTAATTTATAACTGAGACTCATTAGAGAGTTTAGCTGGTTGAAAACACACACGTTGAATACAACTCTTTGTTTGGCTGAACACAATACATTGCAGGTGTAGTTTCCTCTGCTGTACAAAATGCTAAAGACAAAGATAGGGAATATGGAGAGAGGTTGAGGGTGGGAATTTTTCTGCCAGGACAGAAAAAATCTAGGGTTTTTCAGCTCTAACATTTGAATATTATAAGCCGTTGTGCTGTAAAATTAAAATTAATTCAATCAATGGACTTGCCACTTGTTTTTTCCAGGTATCACGACTGTGCTCACAATGACAACAATTAACACCCACCTTCGAGAGACTCTCCCCAAAATTCCATATGTGAAAGCCATTGACATGTACCTTATGGGGTGTTTTGTCTTCGTTTTCATGGCTCTCCTGGAGTACGCGTTGGTCAACTACATCTTCTTTGGCAGGGGACCTCAGCGCCAAAAGAAAGCGGCCGAAAAAGCCGCCAGCGCCAACAACGAGAAGTTGCGAATGGATGTCAATAAGGTAAATTGCGACGGGGACGTGTCTGTGGAGCGTTGCCCCAGGGAGGCAGACACTGCCTTCTGCCAGACAGAGCTTTAAAATGTTAATTCCTTGTAGAAAATGAGTGGAGTGGGATTATGATGATCTTGTCTTGGCTCTGTGGGGCAGCGGGCTTAGGCACCTCAGCAAATGAATGCTGCCCTCTAGCCTGGCAAACTGTTTTCGAAAGCCTGTGCTCAGTTAAGCTTTACTGTGAGATGTTTTCTCAGTCAGGATGTAGAGTTAAATATGTCTAATCTGTTTCCAAAGGAACAAATCCAAAATGATGGCTGTAGCTGATATTCTAGTGAGAGCTGTATGAAACGTTGGAATTAAAACCTAAATTTAACCTACTTTCATAAATCTTTCAGATGACCTGGATAAGAAATATTGGCTGTGCAAGGGCTTAAATTTTGCGTATTTCCAGTGTATAATGGCCCAGGATACTGTTGACTAAATGAGAAACCGCTCAGAAATAAAGCGTCGACTTGCCGTGCACTTAATTTTGAATCTAAAAATGGTCCCCTGGGGACTGAGAATTGAGGCAGAAAATACATTTGCCAAGATACACACTTTCAGAAGAAGTGTCCATTATGCTTAATGAAAATGGAGCACTTATCATAAAGCACTTGTCATTTTTCACTTTGACCATTTTGGATGAGTTTCACACAGTGGTAAATCTGGGCTGAATGCTAAAATGTGCTCCGTGTGGAATGCATAAACTTTCACACATGTTCAAAACAGGAAAGTTAAATGAAATTATTTTATCATTTTTTTAAATTAGTAATCCAGCATGACACTTCAAGGAGAAACAAAATCAAAATTAAAAAAAAAATAAAAATGATCTAAAGCAGAACCCCCCTCCCAAGTGATTATTTGTGAAGTGGAAATATATGTTTCATACAGCTCTGATGGTGGAATTTCTCATGTTTGTTCAGGACTTCTGTACTGCCGTAGCGTGCCTGCAGGCAGAAGAACATTTTGTTCCATTTTTGCTGGAACAACAAAAATCGATCACATGTTGGTAACACAAAATGGTTTTATAAGCTATAAGTTTATAGTAATTTAAGATGGAGGATTATATTGTCATGTCTCAGATCTCACCCATTCATTAATTTCTTTTTTTTTTTAATTTGAGAGAAACATGTTTTAATGAATGAAGGCAAATGCATAATGATGAGATTGGTTTTGGTGGTATGTTTTACCGTTGTGAGGTTCACAGTGGCACTGTAAAAATCTTTTTCTTTCTATTGGTGATTTTTCAGCAGTGTGAAAAAAGATTCAAGTTTTTATTTCGTCAAGACCGTGTTAAAAAAATTACTTTCCTTTTAAGCAATCAAAGCTATTAACTAAGAAATTGTATCATACTAGATTTGCATTTACCTGTAACATTAATAGAAATGAGGTCCATAGGTGTCAGTGTCACCACTAGGGGAAGTTTGTTTTTTATACTTTTTCACTCGGGATATTTTCTATATAATTATTCATGCAACAGATCTTTCAGCAATCTAACAGAATAACCAAAGTCTAGTGGCAAATTGCTAATCACGAGCTAGAGTCTGAAAGCACTAACTGGTGTACTAATCCAATCCAGTAAGCAGAGTAAATTAATTCTAATAACCCTTGCAGGAATTCACCAAGCCTCTGGGATTAACATAAAATATACCAGGAACAACTTGATTTATGTAAATTTATACTGAGCCGTTTGCTTAATATACCAGTGTAGTTCATAGTCTGTGGCAGTTCTGCTCCAGTATCTGGATATGTTCTGATCGCATAATCAGGTTTGCGATTCGTTAAGAAATTGGTGACTCTTCAGTAGGAGAGGGTCAGAAAAGAGGAGTAAGCCCCGTCCTACCCACAGAGATTGCCGTGGGGAGGAGGAAAGAGCTGACAAATGTTCATGCTGTTTGAGCAGTAGCAAGAAAAATAGATTCATATTTAACAGATCCGAATATCAATGAAAGAAGGCCAAGTATGATGCAATTATTTTTAGGTGCGAGAACCACAAATGGGCCTGAACTGCCAAATTTGGTTCAGTTGCAGGTTTCCAGAAAAAAAAAAACAACGAGTATTTTAGAAATGGGACCAAACGAACACTCCATCTCTAATTAAGAGCCAGCGTGGAAGGACTGATTTTGCAGAGTATGAGTGTTCTTTTATGATGTGACTAGGTGCCTCTTGTAGCACTGCATGGAATATTATGAATTTATCAGAATCAGATACTGTGTGAGAAAAAAAATCAATGCCATGAGTAATAAATCTCAAAATACGGGGATGCAGACTGCTATACAGCTCTGTTACTGCATTCAGCATAAATGTAAAAAAACCAGAAAAGTAGGTACCAGAGCTGCTGCTTTTGGTGCAGCATCTTCATCTGCACATTATAGACCAGAAAATCTCTTCACAGACTTCTTCCAACACCTTACAACATTTTGAACAACAAAAGATCATGAGAGAAGTGCTCATTAGTCCTTCTATCCTCAGCTGCTTGAAAAATCAGAGTAGAAGTTCCTCCACACTATGCTGTCGAATCCTCTGGTATGGAGGGTTTCCAGGGCAGGCGCAGACACTGATAGTCTTTCTATTTTAGCTCAGCGTTATTCTGCAGGTACTAGAGAGCCTACAAAGCACCACGGAAACATGACAGAAGCTGTTCTTCCATGGCTGTGGTGTGTGCTGAATCCAATGCAATCTCTTGGAGATTTGGAGACTCAGAAGGAGGATGTCGTGTTTTTTTTTCAGAATGTCCTGTTTTTTCTTTCAAGCAAACGCTATCAGGCTGGCTGCAAAGCTTCTCCTGGGCTAGTCCTGGTGAAAATGTGGCCAAATCATTCCTTAAATTCCCTTGCATTCATGTCATGTGCCCAATGTAGTGGGTTTGGTGCAGGGTTTTTTTTTTAGAATCATAGAATCATGCAATAGTTTGGGTTGGAAAGGAGCTTTAGAGATCATCTAGTCCAACCCCCCCGCAGTGAGCAGGGACATCTTGAACTAGATCAGGTTACTCAGAGCTCAGACCAACCTGACCTTGAATGTTTCCAGGGATGGTCCATCTGCCACCTCTCTGAGGGACCTGTGCCAGCGTTTCACGACCCTCATCGTAAAACTTTGTTCCTTATATCTATTCCGAATTACCACAGAAGATTATAACTTCATTTACTCCTTTATTCTCTAAGATTGTCAGCTCTCTTTGGAGTAAGAAGAAGAAGGGATTGAGCCTGTATCTTGATGTGCTTCTTGAATTCTGAAACCTGAATAATAAAATCATGGAGAAATTTAAAGGACATAAAACTCAAGGAAGATTCAGGCTCCATTACCAGCAGATACGTTATCATGGACTCGTTAAATCAAATTGGACATGCTTAATTTTCTTTGCAGTGACCAGGTCAAAATGGCTTTCTTTGAACATTCCACTCTCAAAGTTTCTCGAGCTGCATTCAGCAGTTTGTTCCTTTAACTTGTCAAGGCTAATTGTTCTCTCAGCAAACAGTTGTATTGTTGCTTAGAGGTAAATCACTGGCTTCCTTCTTGCTCTAGACATCCTTCATTTCTTGGAGACAGCATTCACATCATTTCCTTGCCTCTCTTTTCAGGCCAGTCATCTTATCTTACGTTATTTCTTCAAGTGCCTTCATTATCTTTGTAGTCTCAAGTTTTTGAATCTCTTCTGAGTGGCACAGTACTGCAAGTGTACATATAAGGACAAGTGAACTGGGATTGCTATATTTCTGCTTGAAGAACAAATATTTATCATAAAATATATATACTCTAAGCCCTTGTTATGCAGTTTTATTCTGCGGCCTATTTTAAGTAGGAATGTCAATGGTCACCAGCATCCTTTTGATCCCGTAGGCACATCTCACACTCTCTTTCCTTCAGGCTCAAGTCACTATTCTAGTATATTGTCCATGCTTCTTCCAGATGATTAACAGGTAGATTAAAAATTAGGGCCAATTTCTAACCTCTTGGTTTTGCCGTATCATCAGCTGTCTGTCTTCCTATGGGTAATTGTTGTGCACGTATCATCTCTTCAGTCCTAAGATAATGGGTCAAAGCCTTTACGGAAATCCATAACTTTAATCTCCTAATTCTGTAATTACATAAAGATGGTCTAGAAGCCTATATGGGGCGCTTTTTTTCTTCTAACTGCAACTTTACTTTCTGGCTTTGTCTTCCAGGAGATGATCAGCCTCATCAAGATCTCAGCATAGAGTCTCGTACAACTGTGAATCATGTCTGATGTAGACCCTCAGGCATTTCAATATACTTAATTTCTGTTAGAGTAGTTCAAATAATGAGCTTCTTGGTGCTCTCTCAGTATGGATTTATTCCCCATAAGTTTCTTCCTGAATCCAGTAGCTAAGTTATTTTTGATTAATTTTTAAATTTCTGTTATATTGTTATACCTAAATATTTTACCTTGGAGTTCCCATGTTGAAACTGTGCTTTGATGGCCTTGCTGGTGCTGATCCCTGTGATGAGTCTGATGCATCTTCTAGCCTTGGTGCTGTTCAGACTTGCAGTTGATCATCTCCCAGGCTCTGTGTTTCCTGTGTTACTTAAATTCCCAGACAACCCTCCTCTTACACTCCTGCGATGTCTTTTGGATTCTGTTGCTGGTTTTTTTCCACAGTTACTTGTGTAACTCTTGATCCAGACTACTACATACACACCTTGACTTCTCTGGGGGTGCAAGAGCGGTGCAAATGTTGGCAATATCAATGATACCTGTGTATGTGTTACTCTGGATGGATCAGAAAACCTCTGTTACAGCTCTGTGGGAATTTAATGGAAACCAGAACTGTCACTGTAAAGCCCATGGTAAATGTACCGGGCTGAATGAAAGGCTGGTGCCTCTTCCTCTGTAAAGAAGTGCTCCTTGCATCTTGCCATCTGTACATTTGAGAAGGGGTGGTTTTAATGGAAAAGCAGCTGTTTGCCATCCTCTTGCAAAGCAACAGAGCCCGGGAGTGTCGGGC